CATATGGAGTCTGATCGGTCTTGGGTCTAAGGTAAACTCTATTAATTATGTGGCATGCAGTGTTAACAGCTTCTCCCCAAAAATGTAGGGCTAGTCCCTTGCCATGAAGCATGGCTCTAGCCATGTTCTGAAGAACCCGATTCTTCCTTTCAACCACCCCATTTTGTTGAGGAGTGATAGGGGAAGAGAACTCATGCAATATCCCTTGATCCATACAGAAACTCTCAAGATTAAAATTCTCAAACTCTTTTCCATGGTCACTATGCATTCTAGACACTTTGAGATCCAGTTCATTACTAAGCCGTTTACACAAAGACTTTATGAGATCACATGCATCAGATTTTTCCCTAAGCAATTCTATCCATGTGAACCTCAAGAAGTCATCTACCACAACTAGAATGTATCGCTTACCTCCTAAACTCTCAGTCCTAGATGGTCCCATTAAATCCATGTGTATCAATTCTAGGGGTCTTTTGGTCAGAATTTTAGAAGTCTTCTTATGGTTTCCCTTAAGTTGTTTACCTAGTTGACATGGTCCACACACAGTGTTTTCACTAGGACCTACCTTAGGCAAACCATCTGCCAACTCTTTCTTAGCTAGTTGTACTAGACTCTTATAGTTCAAGTGACCTAACCTTTTGTGCCAGAGTTCACTCACATCAATTTTAACACTCCTACACACATAGTTAGAATTAGGCAAGACTCCATAACAATTATCAGTTGTTCTAACCCCTTCAAGAACCACCCCACCAGACGAATCATACACAGTACATCTCTTTTGCACAAAGCTCACCTCAAAATCAGCATCACAAATTTGACTAATACTTAACAAGTTAGATTTTAAACCTTCCACATAAAGCACATTAGAGATCACAGGTAAGCCATGCATTTGTACAGTAACTTTGCCAAGAATAGGTGCAGAATCCCCATCTCCAAAGGTAACCATACCACCGTTACATTCATCAAGAGTAGTGAATAAAGCCTTATTACCACACATATGCCTAGAACATGCACTATCTAGGTACCACATATTGTAATTTTGGGCTTTTAATGCAACATGAGCAACGAAACACTTTTCTTGATCTGAATGTCTAGCTAGATCGCCCTTTTTGACCCAAACTTTCTTAGATGATAAAGTACTCCTAGTAAGCTTAGTAAGCATCTCAGTCAAATAACTAACCTGATTAGACAGAAAGCTAACCTAACTAGGAATGTTCTGATTTCTACGCTCATTACCTAACTTATAGCATCTAGGTCTAGTGTGTCCTAGAGCTCCACAGTGGTGACAGGTGAGAATAAACCTAGGCTCAAAGGTACGTGGCTGTGGGTATCTGGGTATGGAGTTCCTACGTGATTGATGACTCTGTTCTCTCGGAACATTCTTACCCTTATTTGAACTACTAACAGCATTAGCTTTCTTAGAGGCAGAAATAAAAACTGTTTTAGAAGGTCCAGCAACATGTGTATTGCCCTCAACGTATCCTAGACCCTTCCTATCTCCTGCAGGCTTATTCATTCCCAAGATATTGTCCAATTTCTTAGTCCCACTCACGAAAGTCTGAAGATGAGCATTAGATTTCTCCAATTCACTAGTCAAAGTCTTAATCTTGTCCTCTAACTTCTCATTGACATACTTTAACTCACTACCACTCTTAAGAGAATCCTGAAAATTACTAGCAAGTTTCTCTTTTTCTCTTTCAAGTTCATCAACCTTTTTGAGTAAGACTTTATTGACCTTTTTTATTCTAAGACACTCTTTAAATAAAAGTTGATAAGCTTCTTGTATGTCTATCTCATCCTCATCCTCACTACTAGAATTATCATTTGGAAGTTCTTCCTCAACCTTGTCACTCTTATTATCAGATTCACTCTTAACAGTCGATACAAATGCCATATAGTTTCCTTCGTCCTCACTACTAGAAGAATCCTGTCTATCACTGGTCTCAGATTCATTATCTGTAAGTGAGACAACTAAGGCCTTACCTTTCCCTTTTCTTTGGTTCTTCTTATAACTAGGGCATTCATTCCTATAGTGACCTATACCTTGACACTCATGACACCTAACCAAACGTGGTTTATCACTCGACCATTTATTGTTAAACGTTTCAGTTTTTGCTTTTGTGAATCTGCTAGGGGCTCCACTCTTTTTATCTTGAGGTTTTCTCCTATTCTTGAGAACTTCTTGGAATTTCTTAACAAAGTATACAATTTCCTCGTCCCTAAGTGACTCAGTATCAGAAGATTCATCTTCTTTGATGGATTTTAGGGCTATGGACTTTCCTTTCTTAGGTTGTGTAATAGTGAGTTCATACGTTTGCAACGATCCTATCAGTTCTTCAATTTTAACTTCATCTAGGTCCTTACTTTCCTCAATGGCAGTGACTTTAGGCCTAAATCTCTCAGGAAAAGACCTAAGCACTTTTCTCACAATTTTAGACTCGAGAATTTTCTTACCTAGATTGAAGCTAGAATTGACAATGTCATTCAATTTAGCATAGAATTTATCAAACGTTTCATCATCCTTCATTCTCACTTCTTCAAACCTAGAAGTTAGCATTTGTAGCTTAGAGTTCTTTACCGTTTTAGCTCCCTCATGTGTAGTTTCAAGAATGTCCCAAACCTCTTTAGCAGTTTCACACATTGACACTCTCCTAAACTCTTCGGGAGACACGGCCATAAACAGGGCATGAAGACCCTTGCTATTCCAATTACACTCAGCTATTTCATCTTTAGTCCACAGTGATATGTCGGTAAGGTTAACAGTTCCTGATACGATAGTAGAGGGAGGTTTCCAACCATTTTCCACACTTACCCAAACATGCTCATCTAAAGACTTAAAAAACGCACGCATTCTAACCTTCCAATAGGCATAATTACTTCCGTCAAAATATGGAGGTACAGAAAGTGATTGACTCATCTAGACAACTATGGGCCAGGACTCGAGATTTAGCTCTGATACCACTTGAAAAAGATATAGTTCAACCCAACCAACACCTAGAGTGGGGTGAATAGGTGTTTATGCGGAATTAAAACAATTAATTAACTTATGCAATAAGTCACATAAATTATGCATTGCCTAGATTCATTCACATACTTTATCTACCTAAGTTGAATTACCGGTTGAAAAATAAATAACAAAAAGCAGTTAAAACACCACAAAATGTTGACGGAGAAAACCCAACTGGGTAAAAACTCCGAGCACAAGTCAGTAGAGATCCACTATCGAAGATATTGACTTACAGTACGCCAGACATAATTGAAACTAACAATTCTCTGACCTCCTTACTGTATCAACCAAAGCTCTCCTGGATTCTGCAGATCTGCGCCAAAATCCCAGCCTTGAATATCTTCTACTTCCCGTGAATCACCAAGCACTCCAGCTCTTCAAGCAATTTCCTTTTCAAGCAATTTCCTTCCCGGATCTTCAAACAGATGATCTTTTGAAAGTTGATATGGAGATATGAAGGGGTGTTTTTGATTTTGTGATGGTTGATGTTTTTATTCAAAAATCATGAGAATCAAAAGATGAGAAAGATCGAATGTTTGGCTCTAAATCCTTTGGAAGTTAAAAGAAGTTCTTGTTTGAATGTTTTCCAAAAGTATTTAATGAAAATCGGACGTTTTGTTTATATAGTAGGTCAAATTTGGAAATATGGAGCGTTAAAAATTCACGAGACATTAAAATTACTAATGGCCAGATAACACCGTCACTCAAGCGAGGTGCTGGCGAAACTCGAGCGACGCACCTTCGCTCGAGCGACTGCCCAGCGAAACTCCAGCGAGATCAGTTCTGCAATTTTGGCTCGAGCAAGGTCAGGGTGAAACTCTAGCGAAATCAACGCGCCGTTTGCATTTTCAAAGCATCCCACTTTACCCTAGATCTATGCTATGAAATTTATTAAATTGCAACTCTAGTCCCTGAACTATTAGACCTTTACAATTTGGTCCCTGACTTTACAAACATGACAAATAGGTCCTTTGGTCACAGATTGCCAATTACACATTTTCCTAACATATAACATGTAAATGGCAACGGGCACCAATTGTATGTTTCTAAAAGGGGTTTATTGCAACATTCACCAAATGCAGGTTGCCATAGGTTGTAAAAATTAAGATTTAGCAACGTTCATTTAGTGGTTGTTGCTGTTACACCCTTTCACAACGTTCATGGACCATTGTTGTGTTTTTTTTTTTTTTATGACCGTTGCTGTAGATGTTTTAGCAACGTTCAAAGAACGTTGTCATTAATTATTTTTGGCAACGTGCATTACCCGTTGCTAAAATTGAGTAACGGAAACATTCAAAGAACATTGCCGTTACTCAGTTTTAGCAACGTTCATTGAACATTGCTGTTAGTTTGTTTTAGCAACGTTCGTTGAACGTTGCTGTTGGTTTGTTTTAGCAACGTTCGTCGAACGTTGCTGTTAATTGTCTTTGGCAACGTTCTTTGAACGTTGTCGTTAATTTCCTAGTAGTAAATTCAACATTAATGACGTAAAACGGAAGTAAGAAAAAAACAAAAGATTTACCAACGTAAATCTTGAAAATAAGAAAATTGGAGTTCTCCAAGAGTGAAACTTGTATATTATTCAATCATCATGGAAAACATTCCAAAATCCATTAAATGGGCGTGACAAGAAACCCTAAAACATAGAAAAAATAAAACGTTCCAAAAATGGCAAAAATTCAAAACGGGAAATACTAAAATTAATTATTCGGAGGCCTAAACGAAGGAATTTGGCTAAAATCCCAAGATCTCGGGTTGTCCTGAGTCCAATTTCTCGGGCCGTTTTCAATCAACCTGCCAAATTTCAATCCATTTCGACTCTGTCACGACAAACGATAAAATTGCCCCTGGTGCGATTTTTCTTTGTTAATTTTCTGTTGAACACTTCTTCAAACTCCAAAGCTAGTTGTCCTATATCAATTAAACATAAATCATACAAACCCGACCCAGAACCGACCCGGTGGTTTGGTAAAAACTCAAACCCGCCCTAATTTCTTCCCCCTTTCTCACTCTCGCACCCGCTCTTGCCACCATCTCGTTCCCGTATTCCCTGTCAATCTCTCTTCCTCATTCTCTCAATATGAAACGCAGGCACCAGCCCTCAATTGTTTGAGAGAGGCTTAATTTCTGGGAGTCTTCTTCTCCATTATTTCAAGGTAGGCTTAATTGTTTTCTGTTTTTGATGCATAATCGGTTTACATTAGCTTGCTAGCATTTACATATGGCTCTTGTATAATACTTATGTGACTTTTAAATCAATGTATGTTTATGCTTTTGTAACTATTTTAGTGAATCCAGTAGATGTCAATTTGTGTAAAGCCCGATTCTGTTGAAGTTATTATATTGAAGATGTTTATGCTTTTGTAACTATTACATATGGCTCTTGTATAATACTTATGTGACTTTTTTATGGGTTCTTATATTGAAGTTATTTGTAGTTCTTTTGCAGTGTTCTAATTTGATATGGAATTGGAATTTTGGATTGATTGATTGTGTAGTAGTTTGAACAATAAGAGGATTCTTTATTTTTTATTTTTAATCCTTTTCCAATCGGGTTTAGTTTCTTTACAAATTCTTGAATATTTGTTGATATGCAGTGGAGACTAAGATAACTTCAAATTTTCATCTTCTGCAGTAGGCTCTTCTCAAGTCACTTCGAAATTTAGTAAATCTGCTATCATCAACGACTAAACGGTACCTCTCTATAATGGATCTACGACCTCCTCATTCTGCAAACTGACTACATCTCATGTCCCTAAAATTATATTGTTACTGTGCGTGTACTCCCTCCCTTCACATTGGTTTCTGCATCGTTACATTCTAGAGAGAGATTGCAAGAATGTTTTTTGTGGAAAATCACAAAAATAAAGGCAGCTTAATCGGCTATATTTGTTGCTTATATAATTAAGTTGATTGTTATTTCCTTATTCAGTTCTAATTGTAAGTTGAAGACCTTCCTTTTGTATCCCTAACTTTGTTGTATATATTGAGGCATTGTATATCGAAGATAACATAAGAATAGGAATTATTTTCTAAAATATCCACTGGCGAAGTGTTTTTCCTTTGATATCAAAAGAAGCCAAAATATCTTGGACTTGGGCTTTAATAGATGTTAGTGTCCGGATTTGTTATTTACCCATTTAGGGAGATTTGGTCGGTGATTTCTCTCTAATAAGTAGTGTCAATAATAGAAAGTTGTTTTCTATATTATGGTAGTGCCTATTGATATGATGCGATTAGATTGTTTCCAGATTTTTGTATTTCCTCATGTCTTACTTTTGTATTGTAGCTGGTTCGCATTCTGCTGTGATGCTCTCTATCATGCAAGTCTTTTGAGAAATGTAAATATGGGCTGAAGAATGAATGCTTTCTCAGCAGGAGGGCAAAATGCAAGCATGTGTAATCCTTGATGAATATTATTCTGTATTGATAGAGTTTAATCTTCGGGATTTTTCTTCTTATTTCTGGCTGCCTTTAAATGTTAAAGGGTTTGAAGAGTGATTATGTGTGAATCTAAAATTATAGGGTTTAATTAGGGACTCAAACAGTCAATTCTCATTTTGTAATTGGCTATTGAAATTTGAATTTGAAAAAATGCTTGTTGGCTTGTAAATGTCTTGATCAAGGTAAAAGTTTTTCTAGCTGACAGTTGAATTATTTTATCCAAGACATGATTCTTATTTTTTGAGGAGTAGATCAATCTCAGTGATCACTACTTAATGAAAAGTATATCTCTTTCGTGCCTTGAATTTATTATAGAATCGACTTTGTAGATTTCCTTTTCTTTCCTTGATTTAGGAAGAATCTAGGCACGATTTTTGGTATAGCTTTCTTCACATGCTTCTATATATTTACCCTTTGAGTTTAGAACTTGGCCTTTATATCTCTGGCCTTTAAGCAATAATAGAACCACAACTGAAGTTTATAATTTGAATGTTCTAAAGGGAAGATGAATGTTTACAAAATTTCTTATTTAATCCATGCATGTACTACTACAATTATCACTTAATGAGGGGGGTTTAAGTAATAAGCCGAAAATTCTATTCGAGATGATGCTGTTGCTCGAATTTTAGGTCCCGAGCGTCGTGGACGAGTAAGGGGACTTGGACTTGGGGTTACACCATCAAAAGTAGATGGAAATACACAAAGCAGTGAGAAAGTGAGAGAACTTGAAAGCAAATTACAAACTCAATCAGTAAGGATGGAAGCACTCGAAGAAAAGGTTGGAGCACTTCTAAAGTTATCTCGGGTTATACTTTGCTATTACATATAGTATGATAGCGTAACTTAATATATCTTAACATTTCAATAAGTTTTAAATTTTTGTATTATTTTACAGAATCAAAATAAGAATGTAGAGGACATGAATTCACGTACTTTTACTCCACAGGTTTTTGTATCGTATATTATTTGTTCAATATAAATTCAGATTATATCATACTAGTTTTAAAAATATTTTTATTTTACTGCGAATTTGTAGTCCCAACAAGGAAGTGGCATGGAGGGAGGTATTGTACCAGTGGAAAATGGAAAGTGTCAACTATTGCACTGGTACATGTTTGAGGAGGAAATCGTAGGCGAAGGGAAGATTGCATCAATAGACCCAAGTGCAAAGGTGCATCCCGTGCCACTAGGACGAGATTGTTGGAAGGTTTGGGTTGACGAGGTGTACATGAGTCATTTGCCCTTATAGACCAACGGATGAATTTTGAGTTCTTAGTGACGCCATAGGAAGTGCTGTTGCTTGGCCAAAGAGCTGTGTTAGACTTATTTGATGAAGGTACTTTATAAATTTCTACATTTTTTTCATTTATGTATTGTCATTAAACATGTTTCAAGAGTGGCTATATATGTATGCATACACAAGTATAGACAGGCTATGTAAAAAGTTGAACGAGTGTAGTTGTGTCTCAAAAAGTTTTAAATGACATTGTATTGTTTTTTAATTGCTTGCCTGTTTTGATTAATTTGTTGTTATATTCTTTCTTTCTTGCAATTACATGGAGCTGAAATGAGTTCAATCTATTTTGTGCTTGTGTCTTCTTGGATCTCGTCTACATAAAAAGATTGGGTTGGGACTCGTTTGAAGCTTCGGTTATAAATCGTTTACATAACTTTTGGACACTTTTCATAGTTCTTTGGTTAGATGGTGTATATTTTTGAATTGGAGTATTTATTATGTTTTGATGAAGTAATATTGTATATTGGATTATGCTTATTAGCTTAAATGAAGAACTTTTAATTTTTTATTGTCTTAAAGTACTTGTGCGTAGATAGTAAATATGTTTTTAATTCACAGGTTTACGATGTAAGAAAAATGTGAAATAATTGATAAAAAAAAATAAAAAAGACATTTGTGACAAAAATTGGTTTCGGCAACGTTGCCAAAATACCTTTCGTCAACATTCTTTGCACGTTGCCGAAAGGGTGTTTCGACAACGTGCAAAAAACCAATTTTCAGCAACGTGCAATGAATGTTACCGAAACTCTTCGCTATACGGCAACGTTGAGACCCACAACGGACACCTGAACGTTGCGATAGGTCTACGGCAACCTTTTCTGCCTGTTGCCAAAAGTGATTTTTGGTATAGTGAATGTCACTTTTTTATTAAAAAATAATATAAATTTTCTGCCTGTTGCCAAAAGTGATTTTTGGTATAGTGAATGTCACTTTTTTATTAAAAAATAATATAAATTAAAAAATGATATTTGTCACTAAAAAAAATGATAGAAATCAATAAGGTGATTGAAAAAAAAAAGTGACAAATTTAAAAAAAGCTACGAATTCAAAAAAAAAAAGTGACACAAATTAAAAAAAGTGAGTGAAAATAAAAAGTGACAAACATTCAAAAAAAATGATAAAAATTTCTAAAAAGTGACACAAATTCAAAACACTGACAGAAAATAAAAAGTAACCACCAAAAAAGTGATATTCTATTACTTAATTCTATTTTGGCGTTACCTCTTTTAACTTATTTATGGGCCATATTTCTTCACTAGTTAGGTGACATTTTTGTTATTATTTCGAAGTATTTACGACAAACTTTGAAATGCATTGTTTTAATTTCAAAATCGATAAACGACGAGTTCATAATAACAAGTCAAAAATGGCCACAAGAAATGGACATACTAATTATGGTTTATTTCGCGTTCAATATTTCATGCGAGATAATTTTTGACATTTAGACTGTATCCATAACATATTTATCATGTTCTTATTACAAGCTTTCTAATAGATTTTGAATCGCTCATAATGGATAATCGTAGCGTAAAATACTATATCAAACGCATAAAATACTATATCAAATGAAAAAAATTTACTAATAAAAATTTAAAAAAATAAAAAATATCAGATTTGGAGTACGTCCGTTTGTCCCTCAAATGATTTTGTTTACATTCAAATGTTATATGTTTTCAATTCAAACGATTTTGTTTACTTTCAAATGTTATATGTTTTCATTTGACGTAATTAATACGTTTATTAAAACTTTAATCTAATTTAAGTGTATTAATCAATTCATTCTTTTTTTTAGGGTACTGTGTCTAATTTCCTCATTAGAAATTTCATTGAAAGGTATTGCATTGAACAACATAAAACTAAGGGTTAAGCTATTCCAATATCAGAATGCTAGATAGATCTTTCAAGTTCCTTAAAATTTAGAAGTGTCGTTTTAAGTAAATGATAATAATTGGGACTAAGGTCTACTGAAATGAGTTAAATTAAATAGCTTACATAAATTTCCATTAAGATTTTCAGAATTGAAATGTTACATTAAAGGACATGAAGACCGTGTCTATTATTCTCTCTCTTGTGATTTAGCTTCCGGATCTCTCTTACAAAAGAGTCATGGCAAAAGTCAACTAAGTTATTACAATCATGCTACAGTGCCAGAATTATTAATATAATTGTTGACATAATACTACATTTCTATTATTGGACTGTTTAAAACACAGTTATCTTTTCCATCAAATCATTTTCCGTTACACAGGAATTCATCTGACAAAGCAGCATAATCCGTGTAATTAACACACAGGCCGTAATATCAGTAGTACATGAAATAAGAGCACAGAAAAAGCAAGCCAAAAGGCAACAATTTAATAATTCGTGGGTAGCAGGATTGAAACTGAGCACAACCCCTCTTTGGCTTGCTGCTTATCCATTTTGTCTTTCCAATTCCGTCGGCTAGAGGCATCGTCTTATCACTTGCATTTGTTGTTCGTGCCGGAAATCAGGTTCCCTTTGATTCATTTACAAATAAAGTTTCACACAAAATTCATGCGTACATATATGTATACCATGATTTGATTCACTACTAAATCCGGTTCAAGTTTCCAAAAATATTCTAATTATAGAGGCAAAGGTAATTCTAGACATGGGAAGCCATGATTTTCTTGACGACATGAAATAATTAAAGGTAGAAATTCAAATGATTTGATCATCACACTCCATAGCAGCCCTTTGATCATGAATTGCAAGGAAAAGGAAGATTGGGTATAGTAGTTGCTGGTTTAAATGAATATAGGGCATGCAAGGTTGTTTGCCTAAATGCAGGCTACACAGAGCAGAATCTTTTGAATTCTTTGCCTCGCGATATGGCATGGCTCATATTGTACTGGTGATTGACACAATATCACACAAAAGTCTTCCTGTCCATTAAAACCATAAGATGCAAATGGTACACTGGGATCCTGTCTTGAATTTACTCAATAAGGCATGTTTTGTTAAGAAAATAGAAACATGAGAAACAAAATTATGCATACAGCTTCATACTACCAATATATAGATATGATAATGACTGGAACCTCTATGCTTAACCCATTAGATCATAAGGATTTAACTGAAGTTTTCATAAGGTAGAAGTCTTGAGTTCGAATTCTAGAGGATGTGACACAAAGTTGTGAGAGGTAAAAGGGTAGATGCTCTACCAAAGCAAATAGTACTATGATATAACGACTTGGACATAGAGACTCTAATATCAGTAAATGATATGACAGTAAATTTCCACACTACAGCAGTTCAAAACAAATTGTTAGATTTACCCAAATGCGACAAAGAAAGTCACTATGGAACTTATGTTTCAACTCCATTTTAACTGAAGGACAATGGGGACGACAAAGTATGGTGAAACGTTTCCAGTACATAATATGGTTATAAATCAATATATTTTGGAGCTCTTAGATAAAATAAAGTAATGCGGAAGCTAATTCTAATACTTACTCCCAAGGAAGATGAAAGAATAAGATGCAGACATTTTTTTTTCCCTGGAAACAAGAATTTTATTAACTATTGATGCGCTATACAGGCAAGATGGAATATCGAATACAATCGACCAAAACTTTATCAACTAGAGTACTAGACCCTCTGCAGCTATAGAAGCGAGTTTGAGAGCCACCTTATTCCCCTCTTGGGAGTAAAGCAATAAGTGCCACAAACCAATTCCACCTCAGTGCTTTAATTTCCCGAAACAATCAAAGAATTTGACTGAATTCAACCATTATATCTCGAGTGAAAATCAGACCTTCTCTTAGTACGAGGGCCTCAGCATTTTCAGCAGCAAAAGGTTCTGATGTAGGCCGGAGAGATAAATTAACGGTAACTAAGAAGAAACTAAAAATATCCATCAATTTTTTATAAGTGTACTGGATACTTGACAGTCAAGACTCGTTCATTCGCGCACAAATACCAAGAATTAATTCTTAGTCAACAAACCATTGATTCTTATGCAGAAATACTCATTTAGATCGAAAGACTAAGAAAATTCCAAAGTCCCAATTTTTATTCAATATTCAACCAAAAATAAATAAATAAATCTGTTTGGTGAAAATTAAAATCAAGATTTTAGTTTAAGTCAAAGTTGACAATTAATTTCAATGCCATATTTAACAGGCCCATAACATTCAGCCACATATTTATCAACTTTTATCAAAATCTACTAAAAATTTAATTTTAATTTTCACCAAACAAAAGCTCAATGTCTTAGAACATCTCCAATAGAACTTCATTTTTAAAGAGTATATACAATTTAGAGAGCTTCTATAAATTTAGATAGTAAAAATTTTTAAGTACTCCAACAAACTCTTTGTATTTAACATTTAATTTTATTACTAACTGAAAAATATTTTAGCAACTTTCTAGGCTTCATTAATTTCAAAATACATTTTTCTTTTTTCTTTTTTATCAACCACACACTCTCTAATAAAACATATTATATGTAAACCCAAATTTTTTCTTTATTTTCATGATGGGTGACAGCTAGAGGATGCAATATTTTCTCAATCACTCTTCATGAGCAATAGAGAGAATCAATGTAGGCATATTTGTAGTTTGTCTCTACACTTTCAAGGGTTTACAAGTCACGTGAAATAGAATTCTTAATTGTAGGAAAAATACAAATGGTTCTAGCCCTCATCCAGATAAACTCTAAATAGCTAGGCTCATAAACAAGTAAACAACACGTTACTTTTATTGAGGATATGTAAAACAATCTTACTACATGTATATCTTGACTTGTATAATTTACATTTGGCAAGTTATCACACCATCTTTCACATCTTTAATCCAGCCATTAACAAATTGCCCCATAACTAATATGTTAAGAGATATGTAAGGCAGAATGTACAAATAGCTTAAACTTATGTTAAAAAAATATTTTAAAAAATGGATGAGAAAAGTTACCATATGAGAAATTATTTTACTGAAATAGGAAAGGCAAAAAAGGTAGTTACCTCGATATCAATGCATGCCACGTGTGGAATAATTTGCATGCAATTGTTGTACGTGGAAGCAAGATTTAGCCACCTCGAACACAATTTCAACACGTAAAATACCATGCAAGCCTCCGAACTCACTATAAATAGTAATACCCTTCACCACCATTCCTCCACCAGAGATCGAATTTACAATGGTAAAGAAAATTATAAGTGTTGGTGCTATCCTCCTCTTGGCTCTCATGGCCATGGACGAAGTCTTAGCCACCACCGTGACAACCACCGTGACCACCACCACAATCGATGAAGAGGAGAATCAACAATGCCACAGAGAGATTCAGACACGCAGCTTCCCAAATTGCGAGACGTACCTGAAGCTCGAATTTGATAGAGCTGATGCCACAATAATGTTGCCCTATTCCAAAAAACATTATAAAAGACGTTGCTGTAGAAATGAGCTGAGCGGCATCGATAAGCAGTGCGTGTGCTTTGCTGTGAGGACTATGATGAAGAACATGATGGACAGTGGCCGCCTCAGCGCTGAGGATATGGAGGCTATGCTCGAGCTGGCTGGAGATCTTCCTACCGTGTGCAACTTACGAAAACACCCGTGCTGAATATTCAGGCCATTACTCGGTGGTTCATCAATGTAGAAATATGCACACCATCATGTACCGTGTATATTGCCTTGGAATAAAATATCAGTCTGTCTTTTTCTAAGTTGCCTATCTATTTTTCCAATCCATAATCAATGGAGTTAACTAACTTATATGCATTGAACTAGGGCGAAGCCAGACTTTTTGTATTGTAGGGGCAAAAATTAAAATGCAATTTTTCTTTAAAACAACATAACATTAATGGAAGATCAAATTTCTACAAAAAAGTGGAATAAAATCACATTAATGCAGTCAAAACTAATTTCCTCATTTACTGTAGAAAACAAAATGTAATAAGATCACAAACACAAGTTGGTTCACCTTCACTATTTCTAAAGAAAAATTAAAGATAAACATATGGACAAAGAAAAGTTGCTTATGAAAACTCTTGAAAAATATAAACAACAGGGCCAGATTTGGGGATGACAATTGAGTCTCTCAAACACTACTGAAGCTACGATCTTATCATTGCTATTCTTCAATGTGGAAGTATCATTGCTATTCTTCGATGTGGAAGTATCATTATATATTGCTATTCTTCGATGTGGAAGTACAAAACCCTACTCTGTTACCAAAGACTAAATTAGCCTCCCATACGACGTTTTTCTTCGCATTTTCTACGACCTAACTATCAAAATAGAGAGAGAGTTCAGATTCGTAATAAATTATAATACGGTTGTACGTGGAAGAGGATTTGTTAAACCCTAAAGAAGCGTGGGAACAAAAAAGAGAAGAGAGTGAAAAAGGAGAGGGTACTTGCAGCTAGTAATGACAATTGAATTAGTCGGGATTTATGTTAGCTATAGACTGAATAGGAATGAAAAGGCCGGTCTTAGTTGCCCCTATCTTCAATAATTATTGTCACTAAAACTTATGAAGTTTTAACTCGTGCAATTTCATGAAGATTGGTCAAAAATGATGAGTTATTAATACATAATTCCAACTTCGACGGGCGATAAGTAATGGTATTTGTATATAAGCTACACTAATTGGAATCATCATTTAAACCAAGAGCTAGCACGTATTGATTAAATTAATACCTTCAACCTTTCTAAACACGCTTTTAGACAAAGCATAGATCAAACAAATATGCAGATACACTAGAAGGATTCAAAGCCCAACAATACCACTTAAAGGCAAATGGAATGTCAAACAAGACTTTCAGGAAGCCATCAGCCGTACCAATTTGAGAAAGCTTGCCACTATATAGTCTCAGCTTCAATTCTTCTTCAGCTGTTGGTGCCATCTTTATCAAATGTTGAATAAACTCCAAAGGAAGCTAATTACCTGATTCAGTTTGATAGCTTAGCAGGTTTTCATAGGCTATAAAATTATCATAAAGCAAAAGCAAAACTCAACTTCGAGAAAATACAGTAATATAACCATCAACATGCTAATCCTTTTTGCATGACAAGTGAGCAAATCAGTCAATCTTCCTTTCAATTGGTCAAGCTTTCCTGAGGAAAGCATTCACTACAGTTTTGTCTTTTAGAAGGTGTATTACTCTCCTCTCCATCTAATCATGTTTGCATTCCACCTCCAGGCACAAAATTTTCGCCATAATATAAACTCTCAAACCTAAACCATTTGCTAGACATTTTATAAGTGTGTTTCAGTATGTTCTTATCTATTCGTTAAAGTTTTATTGCTTAATGGGAATGACAATTTGGATCTAAATGTTACCACTTATTGGGCAGTAATATTCTCTCTTTGGGAGGCAAACAGAAGTTGAAAATATGTAAGAAAAAAATGATTGAAGAAGTTCTTATCTTAGTATCACTCCCTTCAATTACGTACAGATGAATAAATTACAATGCGAGTGAGCGAAATATATAGCTGTAATCCACTATCAAGCTTGCAGCACTGAGTGCTCATCAAAGATGAAAAGGCATATAGGACTTGCCCTATTTGGTGGGGATTAAAATCAAAATTTTTAATAGATTTTGATAAAAGCCGATGAAATGTGTAGTTGAAAAGTAGTTGTTATCATGATGTGTGGTTAAAATTAATTATTTACTTTGATTTAGAATAAAATCTAGATTTTTCACCTAAAACATTTCATTTCCTAACAAGCGTTCCACCAGGAACCACCAGATCCTCTCAAACAGAGAACATCCGAAGCAAGGATCCTGAGAGAACTGATTAGAAATCATTTAACTCCAGAAATTTCATCACATAAAGAAAATTGTGAATATATAGATAAATTGCAGCAATAAGCTATAAAGGAGTCATTTAAATACTGTTATAATCAAATACTACCAAGTAGTCACAAGGCAAACAAATCATAAATTTCTCACATGGACGAGTCTATGTTTTAAAAGAGAAAAAGGTTGCATCACCTAGCGATTCTGAATCATGTCCATATTTCTTCATACTTTTAAGGAGACACTAAAATAAATTAGACAGAGGGAAAAAAATGACAATGGGAAACATTGAGGACCAGGAGATCTATCTCAGGTTTTAAACCGCCATTAACACAGACACTTGCTAAGACAAGAATGCCTCTCGCACACAAACAAAAACAAAGAAAGGTGTGAACCATAAGGTAATTTATGAATTGTATTAGTGAATCAACATTTATAACCACCATGTTAGAATATTATAATCCAGACTCGGACTTCCAAAAACTTAAGCATCATATATATGAGGACTTGGTTTTCACTGAGGCTTGATGAAGATAGAGCATTTTTATAACTTACCATGTTTTTTTCCTCTTCGGGGCAGAAATAATTAGTCAAAGATATGTTGGATGCTCACCACAACGCATAAAACTAGACTAAATATTTTTTTGGCCATCTGATCATTCTTTGAAGCACATGAGATTTCCCTGCTGACATCTACATCATCAATAATCTTCTACTCTGCAGCCTGCTACTGTGTATCCCAAATTCAAAATGGAACAGAGAAATAAACTCACCTTCTCGAAGTGCATCACAAACTTATTGTGTAGTCACATTTTAATGCTTTGAGAAGATCCAAAAGATTATTGACTTTTTTGAATCAATTATTTGAATAAATTGGGTTGGAGGATCTTGAAATGAAGTCTTTCTTGGCCTCATTCTTATTTTTTTCAGCAGGGGTATAGCCATATATGGTCTCTATCATCTCTTCATTGAACCTTAAAAAAAAAATGGACATTCCGCGAGAGTGTCTCTCATACAGCTGGACTCATCATTCCATTCATGAACAACATCAACAATTAGGGAAAAATTTGACTCACTGGAAAGAGCCAGATTTGATCCAATGCCAAACCACTGAATTATCAGAGTTCACCAAAACCTTGTCCCAAAAGAAAAGTTCAGCTTAGCTTTAGGAGCACCTGCATCTCCCCCTAAAGTAGATCCAAGAGGTGGAGGTGGTTTCAAGCCAACGGGAGGTGGCCTTGGTGGAGAGACACCGTCTGGAGGTGGTGGTGGGTAAGTACCAGTCATGATGCCAGAACTTATAGCGGGTGGAGGGGATGGTGGTGGGTGAGGACCAATCTTGATGCCAGAAGGTATAGAAGATGGAGGAGGTGGTGGTGGGTTAGGACCAGTCCTGATACCAGAAGGTATAGCAGCAGGAGGTGGTGGCCCAGGAGGCGGAGGATGAGGCCCACCAGACGAAAGTTTCATGTGTGGTGCTGGTGGTACAGGTAGAGCAGGCGGGGGCAGGGCGGAGCTGTCTTGCCTGGAGGTAGTTTAGGAGGATCTGCCTTTCCAGAAGGCGGCTTCAGTACAGGCAATCCAGAAGTACCCAACATTCCAGGTGTTTTCTGCACAGAATCATCTGCTGAGCTTATGGTGGCTGCAGTAATGGTTCCAACTGGAATCTCAATTTTTTAATCACTCACAGAATGAGACTTCATATAGAACTTGCTGCTAATTTTGTTATGGTTCAATTTGTTATTAAATAATTGGTTACCAAGCTTTTCGTCATTCACTGAAGTTTGAAGACCAAATGACTTCTGTGAAGAGGCTGAAAGATCGAAATTAAAGAAGAATCAGGACAAGGAAAAGCAAAATGATAATCTTAAGATGACAACACAAATTAGGAAGTAACAAATGTACCAATGGAATGGTCACTTAAGCTTAAGCTAAGAAGAGGGCTTTCATAATTTCTTCCTCATCCAGAGCCAGTCCCCAAAAACCAACAACTGCAGATAAAGAGCAGTGCAGAAAAACAAAAGTCGCTGCAGCAGTTACAACAACAGCAACAACAACTATTTTCTTTTGCTTGCTTGACAGTACATCTGAAGCAGAATTTGGACCATTCAAAGAATGTTCACGAGATGTAGGCTGCAAACCTGAATCATTTAACGGTGGACTAGGTGAAGAAACTGCTGTTGCTGCTGCTCCTCCAAATCTCTGAATTAACTCACGCCTTTCAGAAGAATTTGGCCTGGCAAATAAAAACTACCAAATTTTCAAATCCTTTTCTTCTTTAGAGATAGGAAACATGAGATTTCTTTCCTGTAAACAGTCTACAATAATTTGCTTAACCTGTGGATGTAAGATATTGACAGTTTTACTTATATCTGCTTTGGCTGATGACGAACGTTCCTTGTCCATTGGCCACTCCTCTGAGATGCATACTTCAAGGTTTTCTAAAGCTTGTTCGGCCTGCATCATCTCAAGCCTACAGTTTATCCACATCAATTCAGCCTGCCGTGATCGAATTCCATCAGACTATGAACATTCATTGTAGATATGTATAATGCAATGACATAACAACCATTACTTATTCTACTCAAAGCAGGCTAGGAATGATAGCTGCTATGTTATTGCAAGGCTTTGTACTTCACATAATTATTTAAAATTAATAACTATGTTGAGGTTGTCCCACATCGATTGTGGAATGGATTGGTGATCAATTTATAAGTGTGAAGGAAAGTCTCATCCCTTGAGCTAAATCTCCACCTCACACATCAGGTCTTGTGGGAGACCAAACTCATTTCCCCCTCACACAAACCCGCATCTCCTGTGACTGTTGGGTCTGAGACTTGTTGATAACCTGGGCTTCATCAGCTCCTTCCACAATCGATATGGGACAATCTCAACAAACTAGAAGAAGTAACTTTAATATAGTCATAGAAATGAACGTTTACAGAAATGGCATATTGTCAAATGGTAGTTATATGGACACCAAATTACTTCTCCGTTGGTGTATGAAATACAATCAGTGAGATATCAATTTCATGTCAAAGGGGAGACATCGTCGTCAAAATCAACAACGTTAACGAGCTTGAAATCTGTAAGCACATTGTAACAATAAGAAAATTTTAGACAGATCATCAATGGTACGAGCTTTGTAATAGTTAAATCCTTATTGCTACATCTTTGATAAGTACAAAAAAATTTATTTCAACACAAAAGGATGGTGCAACCTATTTATCAAAACCCACCTCCACCTTTTACTGCATCATACAAGTTTCTTTATGTAGCGAAACATTGAAGTTAAACTATTTGAAGTGAGATTGAAAAAATAATATAGAAAGTAAGATAATCACCTATGATCTAACTTACTTCATTCCCATCCATTCCCAAAATGAAGAATAAGTGAAGGCAAAAATGAATTTTGGAGTGAAATGCTGTCATTTATCTTTCATGAACACACTAACTATAGTCTCTACCAAAAAGGAAAATAAATTTCCCTCCACAGTATCAAATGCATGTTGGTATTGGTTGGGTCCAACACAAAGACAACACTTAGAGTAGTTTAATTGTCCAACTCACTACCCCCTTGATTGGTATTCAGTATGAGCACATGAAGTATTAGAAGACTCCTCAACCAATAAGGCACATATAGAATACACAGAACCTCTTGGAAAGATTGGTTATAACAGTTTGTTTATTCCAAATATTAATTCTAAATAGGCCGTATGTCGCTCAGACAGTAAATAGACTTGTAATTTTATTTAAGTCCACTAGTAGAAAACTGAAATAACCAATCATGGTCAGCACGAAGGATCTAAATGAAGTATGTTATTTTTATACCTGTGTTTCAAAACCATTTAACGAAGTTCCATTTCTTTCTGCAAAAGGAGGGTGTATGAAAATTTCAATTGAAATGTTAGATTCATTTATATGAGAGATGACTATGGTACTAAAATAAACACAGCACATAAGGTTTATTGGCCGCAAAAGCAATAATTATAACTACATCATAGCTTTCACCATCTCCTAGAACTAAATTTGTAAATGGAAACAATTCAGCCAAAAAGAGATGGCGACTAAGATAAAGAATCTGTCATAAGCAATGAAGTTGAATAAGATAAGCAATTATCTCAAAATTTAGCAAAGCATTGAATAAAATGCATTTATGTACATAAATTGAAGTCAAACAAGAGTAACAGCTCAGTACCGTCTCCTGATTTATCTCCCCGGAGTTGATTAGATAAGCCAGTACAGGTTCTTGAGCCTCCCACTTGCTTTCCCCACGTGGCGCTACCAAAGTGGAAGCAGAACAACAAAAGTTATGAAATAAACAACAGTTATACTCATCATTTATTGAATAATGGTCATCTCAATTGTATCCGATGTCTTTCATGTCATCAAGAGAACAGACTTAAAAGAAAGAAAGAAATACTTAACACCTGTATTTATAATAGCCTAAATGCCAAAATGTGCCTTTTAAGGTCAAGTATTTACAGCATTTTTCAGTAACCCTATTCAATTTTCTAGAAGTTCAGTTCTCAAATGTTCTAAGATCAGACTTTTTCGACAAGAATCTTCAAGGCCCTCCTCAAGAATTCAACGCAAAAGCTCTAAAGTGTATTCATATCACGCTTTTATAAGCAAAATGCCAAGAAGCTGAACAAAACCTAAAAATAGGATCGTGAAACACACCCAAAAAGACGATAAATTCTTGAATTGTGATCAGGTGAAGCGGTGGTGGAAAAACTTGGAGGTTTTTGGGTAGGGCCCCACAGATTGATAGAGAGAAAGTTTGAAGAGCCGTGCTATAGAAAGAAGAATTATTCATGTTTGAATTATTACTCTGAAAAATGGGATGGGAGAATCCTTCAGTTGATCGAGGAAAATTCTTGTCAGCAAAAATAATTTTTGTGAATAAAGCCCCTTGCTTGAACAATTCCTTGGCAAGGGTTTACTGATTTTTTTGGCAGTCTATCTGTTTATTCAAAAGCTTCTGCAATTTTTGTTAGCTCTATTTTTCTATTCTTTATTTTTTTCTTATATTTTCAATTTTTACTTTGTTATTCCATTTTTATCTTTTCGATGTTTTTACGGTAAAAGAAAACTTGAAAGGAGGAAGAAGCGGAGAGAAGAATCCAAATTTCTTTCGTTTTTTACAAACATATCGACTACAAGTATGAGCACACTCAAACATGTATTCCAACTAAATCTTGGATGTAAAATTATGAGTATAGACATTGGACCATAACATGTCGGGACTTAGAGAAACTTTGCAACAATACGCAACTTACAAATATTGTACTCATGGAACAATGCAGGTGATTTTGCAAAACCAAAAGTCATATATGATCAGTCTAAAAACAGCACTCTCTTTTGACAATTTCTATCAATATTGGATTCCATCTTGCAACATTAGTACATTCGATTTTATCATGTGTACTATTGCCTGATAGTGTCCATAGTACCTTAATAATATTTAATACCATGATCTAAAAGTTCATTTATATATTCCATGTGCTGCAGTTTTTATATTTCTACAACGCATAATAAATATGTTAGTCTATTTTGCTTGAGACGTATTGCCATTTGGATACGTCTTTGGGATTCTGATCTCCAAAAGTACGTCGTTTTTCACATTCGCTTCCAATCTTCTCCAATCCGAGTTCTCAGGAAGTTCAAGCCTACGAACATATCCATGTTCCCACCAATGACTGCTTCTCCAGTCCTTTTTCCTGGGATCTTTGTGTTGCCTCCATTGCCCACTAATCTCCAAAACCTTTCCACCTTCAACACAAACTTGAAGGGTATTATTGCCTACTCCCGATCCTGCTATAACAAATTAGCATCTTTAGAAGGAAATTCTCCATTCTACTGATCAAGGTAATAGAGAAAAACGATTTTTGTAGCCGACCCTAAATTATTGAGAAAAATGAAAAAAAAAAAATGCTGTGGAGTCTCACAAAAATATGTTTGGCCGAGCTTATATTCTTTTCTTGACGGTTCTTGAATTTAACCTACGCTAACATGCTCCATCCATCAATCCCATTGAACCATAAAATCCAAGAAAAAAGCCTATTCAAGAGCCAATTTGAAAGGTTCGACTGGATATGATTAGTTAAAACTTTTAAGAACACTCTCACCAGATAGGTCAGCTTTCAGAACACAATCGGCATCAGTTTGGAACCAAACCACACTGCGCTGACCAGAGCTATTGAGATTGGGCAGCAACTCGTCAGAATCAAACTCCCACAGAGGAAACGCATCAGACGGATCAAAGAATTTTCCGAACAACAACGGGCTGAACAGAGATCTTTCGTCGAACACCTTATGGACAGGCGGATTTTCCTTCCCCATGATGGCTGCAAACGCTTCTTCTTTCAGCGGATGACACCATTTTTGTGGGTTTTGATCTTCAAATTGAATCTCCAGTTGTCTGCAACTGGTCATCGACGATTAGAAAACTTAAATTTCTGCAGAGAGAGAGCTTGAGATTTCTATACATTTTATAATGGGCCTTCAAAAAGTAGAAGAATATATTCCGCGGGGATCCGTGGATGGTTGTAAATATCAGGGAATCTAATTCTCTTCTAGAAGTGCCCATAAATTATCAGAAAGAAAGAAATGGAGTCGAATTGATTGGGCACGGGAAAATTCCATTCCCCGGAAACTAGTGTCAGTTTCTACTGATTGACATGTGCCTTTTTCTGAAGGCGTGTCTTTTAAGATTTTTTTAAGGAAAAATTAGAGTTGTCGGTACTCATGAGTGTTTCACTCATCATATTAATGCAATAAAATTTTTAATATTTCGTTTAATTCTTAAAATTTTAGAACGTTTTGATTTATATTTTCGAGTTGTCTTATATGTTAGGTAAATTGATGTGTATAATGCGAAATTTGTTCAAAATAGTGATATTGGCATGAATCGGGAAAAATATGTTAATTTAGTGAAACTTGATGATTGGAGGCTAACTTGAAGGAAAGAAGTGAATAACGACGAAAAATGGTGAAATCCAAAGTTTGAGAACTCAATTGCAATTTTTAATAGTTGATTCGGATCACAAAATGATAATTGATAGTGCTATGAGTCAATAGGATACAATTTGAAATAATAATGAGTGAAATATGATTAAAATATTTTCACAAATTAATTTTTCACCGCACAAGTATGTTCCAAGTTTTTAGCAAAGATTGAGACCCATTTTTGATTTATTAAACATTCAAATTGGAAAAAGCTATCCAGAGTAAAGTTGTAGTCATTTGAATTATCTTTCCAACGCATTTTAAATCATCTCGACCAAATATCGAGAGAAAAAGTTATGATAAAAACACTAAAACTGTGCAGTGCAACTGAAGATGACACGAGTGCCTAGGCGCTATCCCTCAACTCCGAAGCGCCACATTACTGATTTTTTTCCGAAGTCAGCGTCAAAGCGTAACACCTAGCGACCGCACCGCGTACAATTAGGATTTTTCAAGTTTAATTCATATTTTAAAAGCCCAATTTCAATCCAACTCTTTGAAGGACTTCAAGAAGGCTTTTCAAAGATAATTCAACCAGGTAAGAAGGAGAAAATCGATCAAGACATCAAGAGGAACATTAAGAAGGGAAATTAATTCAAGCTTCAAAAGAACTTTTATTCTTCTCCCTCTTTATGTTATTAATCATGATTTGTTGAATTCTTTCTTCGACCATGAACTAAACTCCTCATCTAGGGCTTGATGTAATCAAAACTTGAGAATATAGTTTGATTTATCTTAGTTATTTCTATGAATTTTTCCAATTCTATTTATTTGTGTTATTGGTTTAATGCTTTCAATTAATTATCTACTAATTGAATGATTTGATGCTAGTCAATTTCGACACTCAAGAGAGGAAAATTTAGCCATGATCTAAGAATGACACAACCTATAAATTTTAGGTTTCGAGAGAAAGTATAAATCTTTTGAAGAATAATCCACTTAATAACCACGAACTTGATAATTTGTAGATTTTAGTTTGGAATTGAGATATTGGAATTGAAATATGAGATAGTTTTTACTCGGCACTTCGAATAAAATTACATTAGGTTCTTGCTTATAAACTTTGGAATATTGATTAGAAATAATTATATAATTGAGAATCATATTTGATAGTTATGTGAAATCATAACCTGGGCTTTCTCATCTTGATTATTCTTCTATCGTGCATTTATTTGTTGAATTCGTTACCATATCCATCATTAGATTAGTTTAAAACCATAGATCCTATAATTTGATTTTCTAGATAAAATAAGAGCTATTCAATTATAGTAATTAGTATAAAATTGATATTCAATCCTTGTAGGTTTCGATATCCGTACTTGATCTTATATTACAAAACTTGACATTGTACACTTATGGTATATTTGTTGGGAATTTACTTAATCATGAATAGTAGAAAATAAAATAATTTCAATTCCTACCAAAAATCTACTTTGTGTTCGGATAAAAACTGTGATATGAATTATACCTTTTTTGAAGATTCTGCAAACCCTTTTGCTGATATTGTAACATGAACAGTCACAATCCGCAATACACGGTTGTCTAATTGTCAAGTTTCAAATGGAAATCTACACGGGGATCAAGATTGAGAGAATTATGATTTTCCTTTCTCATGTTAGCGAGAATAATTATGTTCTCTTATGGTTTTTCAAATCTTAGAAAATCCAGAGCCACACTACGTGAAAGATTGAGCTATTACTATTTTTTCCCTTTGTTTTATCCTCCTTAGGTGAAGTCCGAGCCTTCATCAAAATAAAAAATTGAAAGAAGTAACAATGTATATTACATCGAAGGTTTTGGCGAGCTTCAATGGTTCTAATGTTCGATAGATAATGAGTCCACCTTTAATTGCCCTTCTAGAGTTATCATATGCAGAGTAACAAATATGGGAGAAGGCAACAAAGTATCCTAGAGAATGTTGAGAGCGTGAATAGTATATAAGGAAAAAAACTTGTACTGACCAATACATTGGAGACAATGTGATTATTTATATAAGTAATGTGGAGGACCCTAATGTGCCTCTTATTATAAATGTTTGAGATTGAAAATTAATAACAAATATTTAAGTCCAATTAATAATCTTGTTATTTAAGTCGATTTTATTTATTTAGGGTTTTCATTCATTTATTTATTTCTCTATTTATTTTGCCCACGAAACGAGCCTTAAAATGGGTCAAATTGACATGTTGGTAATATAGGAGAGATTTTTATATTTTCTAAAATAAAAAGATTGTTGGCATATTCTATTTTCTAGATACAGACTCCTAAACTTTTGCTATATTTAAAAATTATCTTGTATAAAAATTTAAACTTTTGTTCAGCAAACTTTTTAAATCTATTTATAAATAGGTAAACTTTATTTATGTTTTATTGAATCCACGGGTAGTACCTAGTTATCTCGTGAGAGGATTGATTTGCACCATCTACTGGCACAAAAAGTTAAATTTTTCATTTGTGGAAACAAAACAAGCTAGATCGAGAAAAGAAGTATAGTTTGATGGATCTACTCAGTTGCTCATTCGAATAAAAGGTAATGTAATTTAGAATAACCTATAATCTGTAAAGAATTTATGTTTGTGTGAAAGGCTTTTTAGGAAATATGTGGTTAAAAATTAAGAAAACATTATGGAAAACGTGAATTGAGTGTGGAAAAAAGTGATTTTCAAACAAGGCTAAAGCTTATGTTTAATTCAAAACTTTTCAAGATGACGTAAAAGTAGTGAAAAATCAAATGAACAAAAATGATTAAACCCCCGTTTGTTTCTCATTTTTGCCCATTAAAGTGAAAAATAACCGTTATTCATCACATCAAGCCACCATATTTGACTTTCTATATTTTGTGTGGGGTCCGTAACGACTATATTTTTCATTCTCATTTTTATATTAATTTGTACCAAACGAGCTAAGTCACATTTATTTAAAGTGACACTTAAAACAATAACTCCATCAAATTTTTGTAAGACTTCATATAGATTTAGCATAGTCTAATAGGGTGTAATCTATAATGTTTATTGCAAGGTAAATTTTATGATGGAGTGTGAAGTACTTATGTATTCTATATAATGTATGAATAAAAATTGATTTGACCATATGTTTTGGTATAGTCATTGTTAATTAAATGAAAATGCACTGTTGGTCCCTTGATATCTCGTAAATAACCACCTTAAATACATCTATAATAATAAAAAGGTAAAGGATAAAAAAAAAAATGAACATAAATTTTTAAATGAAAACATATATATTCGGCTTCATCATCTCTCAAGTTAGAGAAGAGCCGTCCACGAGTCTTACACCTTGTCTTCATTTGGTATCTAATACACACGGCAAAACCGTTTTAGTCTTGAATTTTATTCGGTATTCTCACGATCTCCAATTTCATAATGAATTTATCGTAAAATGTAGAACCATTTCGCTACCTTGTCTGACTACTGTATAACAAATTATTAATAATTGATAACATTATTTTTTATCCATATATTTCGTGAAATATATTTCCTGGGCTAAAAACCAAAAAATCAAACAAACCGAATTGACTCAAGTCAGTTCATGTTGGTTCAACATGGGTAATTGATTTAGCTTGATATTCGTTTAAAAAAAATTATGGTGGGTCGGTTCAATTATGATTTGAAATTTCAAACTATTAAGAATAATCGAACCAACCCAATCTATTTACGTGTTCACCTTTTTTTTTAAAATTTAATTAAAATCAAAATCAAAAGATAAACCCTAATCTCATAACTATATATTGATTCCCTCCGGTCTATGAAGTTGCTGATAAGTAATGACAATGAGAATTTCCTTTCACAAGCTTCATATGTTATATTTAACATTTTTCCAATTCAGTTTCACCATGCCACCCAATATGATTTTATTTCACTATGGCCGCGCAATTTCTTTTTACCATTTTCACTACTTTTAAAAGGGGTAAAATGGTAATTTTGTATATATAATATAAATTTTAAAAAGATAAAAGTTTTTTAAAAATAAGTTTTTATTTTATTTGTCTAAGTAACTTTTTTAAAATAATTTTTTATTAATTTTTAAAGGAATTTTTTTTTAAATAACTTTTATTTTAATTTTATATTTTAAATATTTATTTTATATTGTAAAGTTACCATTTTACCCTTTTTAAAATTAGTGAAAATTGTAAAAAAAGTTAGGTGGCCATGGTGAAATATTACATAAAATTAGGTAGTTATGGTGAAATGTTATAGAAAATTGGGCGGCTATGGTGAAATAAAATCA